TAATTGTGTGGTGTATCTGTTGAAAGTTTTCAACTTTTTAATGGTGGAAAAAGTGTGAAAACGATATGAAGGAGAAAGCTACCATTTTTTTTTCCGACCAAAAAAAGGAAAAAATAATTGAAAACTTACCATTAAAGACTTTTTGTGAACAATTAAAAGCTTTTAGGAATTTGTTGGCAGAACGAAAAAAGGAAATTAGCTAAGTTAGCAAAAAATGGAAAAATATTTTGGAATTATCTACATGTGTGTGATACAAAGAACTTTTGGTTTGACTATACATCTGAGTAAGTAGTGTTTTGATGTATAGGTAAGTTCAAAGAACTTTTGGCTTGACTTGAATATGAATGTAAATGTGAGAGAGTTGAAGACAATATACATGAACATGAGATAATGGTTTTGATCTTACAGATAAAAAATAGATACAGCTTATATGCTCAAAAGTAAAACCGAATCCGGTAAGGCGGTAAATATTAGCTCTTTGCGCAACCGAGTGGGAACGATCGAACCTTCATTCTTCCGTTCAATGCGAGCGCGAGAAGATCATACTCTTCTACATACCATAGCTCTGATACTAATGCCTGAATCAGTATATAAGATTTCTACTCACTTCTTGTGTAGATGGTCAAGAAAACTTCGGTTTCGTTGTAAAGTTTAATGAGCTTTTTACCTTGAATCCTCGGATTTGGTTGTTTAGTCTTGTGACCAATTCGTGAAGAAGCTTGAGATGGTCGCCAGAACCAGCCTGATAGATAAGAAACATTCATATAAGTCATGGAGATTCTGCAACATTTGATTCTGAGTTTCTCTGACAAAAAAAGAAGAAGAAAAAACAGAAACTTGCCTCGGTTGGAGATATAGGAGGACCAAGCAGCCTTGCAAATGATGTATGAAGAATTGCAGCATCATACTGAAGCGCAAATCAACACAAGTATCAGTCAAGTGGTTCGTAATCATGAGAGATATGTTATACAGTTCATGAAACTAAATGTTACGAGTTGCTTTTCTGGTGCGCGTGGAAGTACAGATCTCAGTTTCGAGCGGATAGTTATAGGGTCATGTCCAGAATTAACCTGGTGAAAGATGAAACAGGCTTATAAGTCCCAAAGTGGTATAATGGATACAAAACTAGAGATATCACTCGCATTTGTTACGGCAAAAGTGAAAGCAACAAAATTACCTTCCAGCATCCAAGAAGAACACCGGTCGAGGTTAAAAGAACTCTATCCAATATAATCTCCAAAGGGCAAAACTCATTAGCAACTGCTTTAACAGCAGCTGCTTCTGCTTCAACCTGATCACATCAAAGAGAATCTCAGAGACTAGGATCCTCACAAAATTTCACAAAATTAAGATCCTCTGGATTGGCAAGAAGATCAATGACTAGTAAAAGTTACCTCATCTTCGGTAGCTGGAACAGAGAATAGATGATGTGATGCATGAAACATGCTAAAGTGGTACATCTTAGAGTTTTGAAACCAGATTGCTAAAAACAACCATAGTAAGAAAAAATACAGTTAAACCACATTTATGCTTCTACTCATACACACACACATGCATATCGAAATCATATCTATGGGAACTTAATTTCTTTTACGGTGTTCAAGAATCGTTGAAAAGAAATGTAATGGTACACTTACTATTTTCGAAGTAAGGACTGAACACACTCTTTACGGCTTTCCTGCAATATATAACCATGAAAGAAAACCTTTGAAGTAGAAAACATCTTGAATTTAAAATTAAACCGTACGAAATTTTGCGTTGAGAATGGGGACAAGTTACACACTCACGAGACTGGGACAGAGTATTCTGTGCTGAGATGTAATACGTTAGCTCGTACAGGAGGCTTTGCAACCTATAACATGAGCAGACTCAACATTCCATAGAATCATATATGTGTATTTAGCTATATTATTCACTTGACAATACAAGTAGTAAAAGTAAAGATGTTACATTCTACCTTTAGGACAGGTGATATCTTTCCATTTTTCATTGTGAAGAGATCTGAAATTGACAATAACTGAGACGTTTCGCCTTGTTTAAGAAACACAGGTCCTTTCTCCTGTAAATCCCGTTCCATTTGATCATACAACCTAGTGCTTTGCTCCACATAGGTGAGAAAAGGATCTGAAAACATAACAGAGACTTATTATACACAAATCTTCCAACTAAACATATACTGCAGATACAATGCCAATATAACTGAAGAGGAGTAGATCCTGAAAATCAAGCATTGGCCTTTGCATAAGATATTCACTCTACCATGTTCTGTGGTTAAGAAGCTTCTAGAAACATACAAAATCAGACAGTTGCATTCATCAACAAGAAACATGTTTGATTGTTCCTTTAGTAGTTTAAGATCCAATGCAAACTCGAAACAGAGACATAAAAATAAATAAAAACTAGTCCTTTACGCAAATCCTAATTACACTCAATGCTAGTAAATTCCTTCTGTTAGCAAGTCGACATCGATTCTCCAGTCACGAAACCCAAATTCGTTAAAAACACGAGTCAATTTAACCGATTATATATATAGTTTTTCGCTAATTGATCAGATCAAAACGTCTTCGACAATGTAAAGGCAAAGTCGTTGATAGATGATAAAGAAACGACCTTTAAGAGCTGAAAAGCAATGTTTTTTACCTA